GGGGTGGCGCCAGCGGCTCCGGCTGCAGGGGCCAACTGCGCCAAGAGACGGGGCCCCAGCTCCGGCCTGCACGGAGCGCTGCGGTAGCGATGCGCTGGACGGGACTAACCCAGCTCTGGCTGCCATGCCGCGCACACTTACGCTTGCGGCGAATCGGCCCCACCGACAGGATCTGCTCCTGGGGCTCTTTGGTGAAATCCCTGGCCATGCGGCCATTCTGAGGGCAGTTCTGGATGGGAACAAAAACCACATTTAGTCACCAGCGGCCCCTGCCCACCCTCACCCTGCGCCCCTCCAGCCCATCCCCGTGCCTGTCCCCCTAGCTCCACGACTTCTGTGCCTGGGCTCGGGCCACGTACATGACCGTACATAGCCAATGCCCGCTCCTGTCACCAGGAGAAAAGGGGAGTCTCTGTGCCTCCGCGCGAGGCTACGTCTCCTGCACATCAGAACCAAGCTCTGGCGCTTTCCCCTGGGGCTCGCACACCCGCTCCCCTGTGCGCCAAGGGGTGTTTGGCAAGCTGGCTATTATAGAGGACTATTTCCTCAAGGGACATCTCTCCCCAGTGCAGAAAGGCTCAATAGATGTTCACCATTTGGCAAACTTACTATCTTGCAGGAGTATTTCTCTGAGTCGCAGAGCGAGACAGCACAGTGGAGGTGAACTTCATCGTAATCCCCGATGAACTTGAACACGGTGACATGGAAGCGACAAGTCAGGGACACCCCGTTCTCCTCAATGCCGATGGTGTTGTCCTTCATGTTTTGGCACCTGCACAAATGGCTCATGCTCTCCCATCTCCTCTCCAGCACCTGTGTTGTCACCCGTCCCTCTGACGCCCTTTTCCCGCTTCCACAAGCAATGCCAATAAAGTGCCCTCATCCACACGAGCGTGGCAGCACTTCATTTCAGCAAATCGCAAAAGGGTGGTGGCAGTGCCACCTGCCTATGTGTCTCTGCATCCCTGTGACACTGCTGTGGCATTGAGTTTGTGCTCACACTCAGTAGCAACAGCTCATTTCCCTGTGGCTTTGGCAATATAGGAAGCTTTCTCCAGGTCACTTCTGGGGCTGCGGGGACTTGGCGAGCTCCTTTCCCTCCCTTAGTCCAGAAATGCTTGGCTTTCCCCCACCAGCAATGACCCCTGCACCTGTCGCTTTCCTAAACAGACAGCCCTCGACTCTGTCCCTTGCCCACCTCATGTCGTGATGATGGCCTGACACCCTCCTTTTGCCATTTCTCCCCCAGCTTTTACAAGTTCCCTTGCACACGCTCCTAGCTGGCAAGAAAAGGAACGAACGGAAGCCACAGAGCGTCTCTGCAGGAGCTCACCCTCCCTCGATGATGAAGTAGCGCAGCTTGTCGTTGCTGTCCCGCGAGGGCGTCGCGTAGCACTTGTTCAGCGTCAGGATCAAGTGGGTCGAGTCCGCTCCGACGACGAAGACCCCCACGTAGAGCACGTCCCGGGTGGTCAGCACGACCTCGCCCTGGCGGTACGGGTGCTTATAGGACGAGTTCTTATACAGGGCCATCTTGGTTGTGAAGCTGCCTTCCTGGGTCGGGACTGTCAGGTTAATCACACTGTATGAAAAGAAAACAAGCTCAGAGTAAGGTTAAAACTCACCAGCCCGTGCTGCACCCCTACCCCTTGGAGAAAGGCTGGGATGGGCAATTCGCCACCGCGCTTACCTCAGCATTGGCCTCACGACAGAATCCAGAGAGATTTTTATATCCAGCTCGTAGGCGCAGGAAAACTCGACGTTGATAGTGCGGTCCCGAGTGATGATGTTGCCTGTGTTGTTGGCGCTCTCGATCCACACCGTGTTCTTGTACACGATGTGCGTGCCGTTAGACTGCGGAGGAGGCCAACGGAGCCGCGTCACTCTCCCGGCTCCCTCTCCCACTCATAACGTGCCCCTCAGCCCTGACACCAGCCCCGCAGCAGTGGGCTCGGCCACCCCGGGACACTGCGGGCCCTTGCCAGAGGGTTGTGAAACAACAGCGGCAAGAGGGTCACTTCCCGCACGGCTGCCCCCTCCTACGCTGGCCCAGCCCATGGGTCACTGAACTAGCCCCCCTGGCACGCTGTCTCCAGCCCTGCTGGCCCTGTGCCGCGCGTGGCAGCCCCGCCCCCGCCGCTCCCAGTGCCGCTGCACCTGCACGACATTGCCGCAGTTCCCCTTGGTGTTGTTGATCTGGAAGGAAATGAAATCCTCCCCCTCGATGCCGGGGCAGTGGCGGTCGTTGACCCGCACGCCCTCTCGCTCAAAGCCCAGCTGAAAGAGCTTGCACTTCGAGATGGACACTTCCATCTGCGCAGCTTTGCAGGTCACCTCAGCATCAATGATGTCGTGTGTGTCTAGAGAAGGGTAAAACGAGACATGAGAAGCTCCGCAAAAAGTGCTACCAGCGTGGCCTGCTTGCCCTCCCTCCTTAGAGCTGCCGGAATCAGCTGCTCCTGCAGGAGGGCAAGGGGGTCCCATCTCCTAAATCAGCACTGTGCAATAACAACACCCCTGAGTGTCCAAACAGAGGTGGTGCTCGTGCCACTGACCACTTGCCCCAGGGAAGACTTAGCGCACACGCACAGACACAGGACAGAGGACGTGGCCCTGCAGCACAGCCCAGCTGCTATCCCGACACCCAGCACCCCCACTGCTCCAGCCGCTGCTGTCCGACTGCCTCCAAAAGGGCCACGCTACTCGGCCCGGTACCGAGCAGGGCTTCCCCGCTCGGGCGGGAGGACTCACTGTTTCCGTAGGGCGGAGGCTCGATGCAGCCACACAGCTCCCCTCCGTTGTCCAGCTCGCAGCTTCGGTTGGGACAGTCGGCGCCCACGCAGGGGTCTTCCACCACTCCTGCTAAAGAGGAAAAGAGGCACGAGAAACGGCACCTTCATTCTCTGACCGGAGTGTGGACGCTTCTGCGCGCCATCAGCAGCCCGCCCGAGGCCATGGTGACTGTCCCTCTCCACCCCGGGTCAGCCTGGCATGAGCCTTAGATAAAACCTCCCTGAAAGCAAACTGCACCGCTGGAGACCCCCCAGCCACTTACAGCAATTCTCCTTCTCGATCCACTCGGTGCCCAGGATGCCGAAGGGGCGGCAGGCCTCTCCGTAGGCGGCGAGGGAGCCACAGAGCTGGATCTTCTTGTGATTGTAGCAGCCGTCCAGAAAGCAGGACTCGTAGAAAGGCAGCGGGTCCAGCAGGCCGTAGCAGGGCTGGAAGAAGCCTTTCATGTCCGTCAGCTTCAGGCAGTAGCTGTCGCTCTGCAGCATCTGGATCTGGACGTTGTCGCAGGACGCGGCGTACTGGGAGTACTGCAGCTCGTTACAGCTGCGGGTGAGACACGCAACACGGGAGTTCGGATGCGCCCAGATGAAGCCCTCTGCTCCTGCCCGTGCTGAGCACCCGAGCACAGAGCCTCCCTAGAGCTCACCTCTTCTGCATGCCGTTGGTTTTCCAGCTCTGGGCCAGCACCACGCTGCTGACAACAGGCTTTCCCCGCAGGGTGACGTAGTCGTCAGTCCGGTCGCCGTTGAAGTTGCCGCAAAGGCCGCACACCTTGTTCTGCAGCCGCTCCCCGATGGTGATTTTGATGACGTTGAAGCCGTTGTAGCGGATCTCGATGTCAGGGCTCGAGTCGATGACCAGGAAGCCCTCCAAGCTGTAGATTTTGGTGGAAAGCCCAGTGACGAAGGGGACGCTCACCTGGCTGCCATTCACCTGGTTTGGGAAAGGGTGCAAAGCTGACATCTCTGCTCCAGCCTCTGCCCCCCAAAGCAAGCAGAAGTCGCTTGAAAACATCAGTGCTAACAGTTACCAGTGCCCCGGATGGGAGAAAACCACACCTCTTTGGGCAGCCCCTTTGCCAAGTCGGGGCTGAGCCAAAAGCCAGTCTCATTCCCTCCTGCTCAGGGAGCTGGTCTCCCTGAGGGCTCAGCCCTGCTCTGGAAGGGCAGACGCTCGGGGCAAGACCTTACCTTGACGGTGTTCCTGTCGCTGATAAGGATCTGCTCCTCGTTGATGTAGAAATACACGGGGGAGATGATGGTGAGGTTGGGCGAGGACCACTTGTCGAAGTTGATGATGAGCTGGAAGGAGAAGTCGGGCAGCTTCTGGCAGATGGTGGAGAGCACGAAGGCGCAGTTGGCCGGGAAGCGGAGGAAGGCCCCGTCGAAGGTGCGGAAGACGCCGCCGCCCGCGGCCAGGCAGAAGGAGCTCCTGGTGCTGAAGCAGCCGCGGACGCCGTTGCGGAGGGCGCACTCCTCGTCCGACTTGCAGTGCCGCGGGTCGCACTGGATGAGGTTGCGCCGGAAGCAGCGGCACCGGCGCGTGCAGTCACCGTTCCAGAACAGCTGCTTGGGCTGGAAGGCAGCGGGGGGGACACGGCGCGGTCAGGACCCCATGTGATGGTCTCAGACGGCAGGGGATGCCTCTCGGAGGACCCCGCGCAGACGCCAGCCAGAGGCGACCTCGCTGCGTCGCACCCACTGTAGGGCATGCGCCAGGGGTCCCGGTCTGTCCTGCACAGCCTCTCCTATGCTCTTTGCCTCTCCTCGGCCGCATCAAAAGGCAGAGCAGGCACCCGGCGAGCAGAGACGCGAGCCAAGGACAAGGCCACGGCAAGTGAATTTGCCCTAAATCCTTGCTGCTCCGCCACAGCAAAGAACCGGCAAATTTCCATTCCCACAGGAACCACCTTCAGTTCTTGCATGCACACAATAAACAGTATTTTGAATAGCTCCTGGACAACCTCTCTGTGCCCTGATGGCCAAACCCAGATCAACTTAGGTCCCCATATTAGAAAACTGGGGTAATTACACAGAATAATAATAATTTAACTGGTTTCTTTGGCTCGCTGACAAAACAGTGCGCATAACATCATCAACAGGAAAATAACACCCACAGCACGTGGTAGCCACCCTTCTCAGCAGCATCCTGCACAGGCTGTATCTCCCTGGCAGCCCTCGTGAGACACTCGCAGGCCAAACTAGGCTACCCGTGACGGAGCCCAGGCGTGTCTAGACCCGCGTTTGGCCTTACGTCAGCCTGCCTGGGGACTCAAAACCCCTGCTGCCACGGGTGCAGCTTTCACGTGGGCAACGCGCGAGCCGCCCCCAGGTCTGCCATTCAGTGCCAGCTCTGAAGGCGCGCGGCGGACGCACCTCGTAGTACTTGCCGTCCGAGTAGCAGCCGCAGTTGTGGGGAAGGATGCAGCTCTTGCCGTTCAGGACGTAGCCCGGGTCGCACTGGCAGCCCTCCACGCAGTAATGGCTGCAGTCGCTTTTCAGACGGATGGCGGCGCATCGGGGCTGGCACAGGGACACGCAGCTCTCGTAGTGGCTGTTGGGGGGACAGCTGACGGCTGCGAGGCAACGAGGGGGGAAAGTGGGAAGACACGGATTAGCTCGACACACAAAAACAACCTCTCCAGGTGGCTTGGCAACCAGTAGCACTGTTCATTTTGGGCAGCCAGGTATCATTTTGGCTTCTAATCTTTGCCAAGATACCAGAAATGCTCACGGGGTGGTTCCAGCCCCGCAGGTGCACATGTGTGCATGTACCCAGAGCCCCTTGGCACCTCCCGCATCCTTTCCAGCTCCGACACCTCAGTGTCCGGACCCGATCGCTTGGCAGTGCTGCAGGCCGCAGACCTGGCTCTGCCTCAGGGTTTAGCTCCGAAACAGACAGCCCCAGGGACACGTCTAGGGAAGAGAGGCCAGAAGGCAGCACTTACAGCACGAGGTGAAGTTCCTCCAGCCGGTGATGGCAATTCCCTGGGTCTGGCACGTGCTGGCATAATTCTGCAGCCAGCTGCAGGCCGTTTGCATGGCTCCCCCGTCGATGCACGTGTCGAAGAGGCAGTTCTTGTAGAAGAAGCCGGGGCTGATCTTGCTGTGGCACTTGGCGAAGACCCCGCTTTGGCTGGGGATGAGGCTGCACAGCTGCTGGGGTTTCCAGAAGCCTTCCACCTTGCCGCACGCAGGGCAGCGGTCACCGCAGCCCACCTGGCAGAACGTGTCCCGCCTGACCCAGCTCTGGCCGAAGTCGGTGACGCCGGCAGCGGCCAGCCCGCTGGAGGCCACCAGGTCGTCCTCGGGGTTGCCGTTGTAGCGGCCGCAGAGACCGTAGGTCAGGTTCTGGAAGCTGCGCGGGACCGTAACGGAGAGGAAGGTCTTCCAGTCGTACACCACCTTCAGGCCGAAGTCCGTCTCGACCACAATGTGAAAGCCGAACGCAAAGATGTTCACCTTGCCCTGGCCCAGCTTCAGAGGCAGGTAGAGACGCTCGTTGTTAACCTGTGGGAAGGAAAACGAGGTGCCCGGTGAGCCGAGGCCATGGGCGCTGCCGCACGGGCACCCCGCCAGCCCCGAAGGGCAGCAGCCAAAACAAAGTCCCCAGTCCGGTCCCCCTCCAAAAGTCGTGTCCCATGTAACAGCCTAGTATGGTCCCCGCTCCCCTTCCCCTGCGGAAAGTTCATAATCCATAAAGAATTGGGGATCAGAAATGCTAAAGACTTAGGGGAGCTGTGGCTGATGGGGGTGAAAACAATCTCTCAGATGGAAATACCCCTCTGCTCCCAAACTGTGGCCGGGCTGTCTTCCCGAGCGAGGGGTGAGCGCCTCTCCCCCAGCACTCACCAGCACTGTGTATTTGTAGGCTCGGTGGATGACTATGTTGTAACTGAACACCTCCACTTCCACTTGTTTCACCCACAGGGCCAGGGACGGCTCCCGGTCCTCGTTCTTGGCGGTGACGGTGAACGCGGGGAAGGTGTCCGATCTCTCCGACCTCGGCCGGGAGATGGTGGTGCAAAGGACCAAGGTGCAGCTGCTCTGGAAGTCGAAGGAGAAGCCGTCGAAGGTGAGGTAGTGCCCGTAGCCAGACACGATGCAGGAGGCGTCCGTGCGGACGCGGCAGTAGTAGAGGCCGTGCTCCTCCAGGCAGTACTCGTCCTCCTTGCAGGGCACGCTCTCACAGTACACGCTGTTGTCGGAGCCGTTGCAGTAGCACAGGAAGTGGCACGAGATGTCCATCCAGAAGCTCTGGTTGGTGGCCAGCTGGCGGCCCTCGAAGCTGCAGCCGCACTCGCTGCGGGGGACGCAGCGGGCGCCCTGGAGGGCGAAGCCGTCGTCGCACTGGCAGCCCTCGGCACAGCCGTCCGCGCACACGGGGCCCGCGGCCAGCGTCTCGCAGGTCTCCGTGCACGTCAGGCACTCCTCGAAATGGCTGTTCTCCGGGCACGCCAGAGCTGCAGGGCGAGCAAACACAGCGCCTGGCATCAGCCGCGCTCACAGCCTTGAGGGAGCGGGCGCAGAACGCGGGACGAGGCAAGGATCGACCGACTGGCTTGGGAAGGAGAGCAGGGGGAGGCCTGGCCTCAGAGCCCCTGACCGGCGCCTCGGAAATCTCCGTGACTGACACAGAGACCCCTCCACCACCTGCTGCCTGCTTCTGCACTGTGTCTTTATCACATTTGCTTCTGAGTTATGAATGTTTTCACATCAGCGGCAAGTTTACGGCGCTACAACGATGCCTTCCTCAAATTAGCCTCTGCTGATGGCTTGCAGTATTGTTAGAAACCATCTGCGGCTCTGTAACGCTCCTACACAGCACCATAAAACTCCTGATATCTCGTGAAACGCCACCATCAAACTATTTAATTGGGAAATCTGTCTCTACAGGCAAAGGCATCGCTTAGATAACACCTCTTGTACAGAGAGCGATGCCTTCTTGCCTTCCGGCTCAAAACATTGCACTCTTAAAGTGCAAGTCACACTAGAGTCCACTAGATTTCTCCATGCCGGAGCTTCCATCATCATAACATGAGAGTAAGCAAATTGCTCCAGATCTCTAGTCTTTGGGAACCTCTTTTCCTCCTCAGATCGTTGATTTTGGACACCTAGCACTGCCATAAATGCTGGATTTCTAGCGAGCTTCTGACATCCCTTTGTCTGTACGCCGGAAAGCCCCTGAGGAAAAGACCCCGGGTCCTCAGCGTGCCCTCCAGCCCCCCAGAAAGGCACTTAAAGATGCTCTGCACTCACGGCAAAAGCTGTGGCTCCTCCACTGGCCGATGTCCACCTCGGCGTTCTTGCAGGCGCTGGCGTAGCGAGCCACGGAGTCACAGAGCTCCGACTCGTTGCCTCCGCTCTGGCACAGGCGGAAGAGGCACGTCCTGTAGTAGGCCGAGACGTTGACCACGCCGTGGCACTCCAGGAAGGAGCTGTTGGTGGGGTCGTTGATGATGCCGCACTTGGAGCGGCTCCTGTAGTACTTGAGCAGCTCCGAGTCGTTGCCGCAGGCCTTGAGGAGGTCCCCGCACTCGCCGTTGCAGATCTCGTCGAACGTGGTCCAGCTCTCCAGGAAGAGCTCCAGGTTGTCCGTGCACTTGCCTTTGGGGAGGCAGAACTCGTCGCTGCTGTCGCCGTTGAAGAAGCCGCAGAGGCCTCCGGTGCAGTTGAAGTAGGCGGTGGAGAGGCGCATCTCCAGGAGGCCCGAGTCGTAGTACTGGATGCTCAGGAGTCCCTCCGACTCCACCACGGTGCCGTTCCTGCTACGGTAAATTTCCAGGCGGCCCGAAGGGTGGGAATATGGCAGCTCCACGTCGTAGCCGTTCACCTGCAAAAAAATGAGAAGCCCATCTAGCTGACAACACAAGTGTATTGAGCTGTATCGCGCTGCTGAAGCTTTGAGCAAGCTAATAGGGGCGGCAATCAAAGGGCACAAAGCTATTCCGTTAGGGATATTCCTTCTTTCCACTGGCATTTTGCTGACTGCAACAGCAGCAAAACCACTGGCTCTGCAGGCAACTGCACTTTTAATTAAAAACCCAGGGTTTGCAGTATAAACCCTGTAGATTTACTTTCTGCGTGCCCCCAGCCCTGGCAGCTGCTCAGAGCAGACAGGGTCTGCAGGCAGACAGTTGCCAGCCTCACCATCCCCATGCCTGAACAAATACTTGTTAAAATCCAGCTCTTTGGCACACAGGGACACCAGGATTTGCTGCTCTGCAGCCGAGTCCCCCACCCGCTGTCCGCACTGACGCGGCATTGAGCAGACGGGGCCTTCGGAGACCAAGGGCAGGCTGAGCTGGGAGCTGGGAGCCCGACATACAGTGTCCTGGCAGCAGGAAGCTCCGAGGGGGAAGAGGCTTTCCCAGAAAGGACACCATGACACGGCACAAACTCACACCCGCCTCGTACCTTCACCTCCGAAGGGCTAGTGCCTCCGATCTTGACCTCCTGGCTGACGGCCTGGATCCGCAGGGCGCGCAGCCCGTTAGGAGCAGATCCCGGCTTCTTCTGGCTGATGTCCACCTCGATGAAGTCCGGTCTCTCCGGGCATGTTTTCAGCAGCGTGTAGGAGTGCTCCAGCGGGTAGGGGAACGTCACGCCGTCAAACGTCTGCAGCACCTGGTTCTGCCCCACGAGACACACGGTCTCCCACTGGGGATAGCAGCCCTGGTAGCCGTGCTCAACGGCGCAGACCTCTCCTTCCTGGCAGGTGGTGTTGAAGCAGGCGGCCTCCCCGCCGTCCTCGCACCGGCACTGCACCGAGCAGTCCGCCGCAGCCCAGAAGGACTCGCCCACGGCGTAGTAGCGGCCGGGGGCGGCGCAGCCG